AAGCGGCGAGGACGGGGTGAGAATGGAGGGATGGGTATCTGAGTGGGACGGTGACCTCTGCGTCCCCCCTTCCCCTAGGTTTGCACGGATATTAATGAGTGCGAGACCGGGCAGCATAACTGCGTTCCCAACTCGGTGTGCATCAACACCCGGGTAAGGCCGGCGCAGGGAGGGAAGGATTGCGCCCAGGGGAGCAGGGCAGGGGTGAGGGCCCGCGCTGACTGTCCCGGGCATGGGCGCAGGGCTCCTTCCAGTGTGGCCCTTGCCAGCCTGGCTTCGTGGGCGATCAGGCATCTGGCTGCCAGCGGCGCGCGCAACGTTTCTGCCCTGACGGATCTCCCAGCCCTTGCCACGAAAAGGCTGACTGTGTCCTGGAGCGCGACGGCTCCCGGTCCTGCGTGGTGAGTTGCAGGAACTCAGGGGGCGGCAGAGGGGTCGAGGGTACGGTTACATCAGGTCACCCACGGACTCCCCTCTACAGTGTGCAATCGGCTGGGCTGGCAACGGACTCCTCTGTGGCCGGGACACCGACCTGGACGGCTTCCCGGACGAAAAACTGCGCTGCTCGGAGCGCCAATGCCGCAAGGTGGGCGGGGTCGTGGAGGGGCGTGGCCGAGCGGGAGTGGGGCCTGGACAGGGCTGCGTGGTCAAGCCACTCATGCCTGCCGTGCCCACCCTCAGGACAACTGCGTGACGGTGCCCAACTCAGGGCAGGAGGACGTGGATCGCGATGGCATAGGAGACGCCTGCGACCCTGATGCCGATGGTGACGGGATCCGCAACGAAGAGGTGAGGCCATGAGGGGACCAAGGCTGGACTGGGCTTTCGGTCTGGGGTGAAAAGGGTTCCCTGAAGAGGAGGCGGGACCTCGGAGATGAGCAAGAACGGGAAATGATTTTACCTTTCCCAGCCTGACTCTCCTTAACTGGCCCTTTCCCCCAGGACAACTGCCCCCTGGTGCGGAACGCAGACCAACGCAACTCTGACAACGATAAGTGGGGTGATGCGTGCGACAACTGCCGGTCCCAGAAGAATGACGACCAGAAGGACACAGACCAGGATGGTCGGGGCGACGCCTGCGACGACGACATCGATGGAGACCGTGAGCAAGCAGGCTGGGGAGATGAGCGGCCAGCTCCAGGGCGGGGCTTGATGGATCTTGGAAACTGGATGGTGTGAACTAGGCCTAGGTCGCCCTAGACCGAGGCCCGAGCTCCCGCGGGCAGAAAAATGCAAGCCGGGCCTTAAGATAGGAGGCAGGACTGGGGCAAGGTTCCTAGGAGTGGGTGGTGGACTTTGTGTTAGATGCTGCAGACGCCAAAGATGACATTTTTACAGACAGGGACATAGAGGTTTGGGGTGGCATTCACAAGGTACCCAGTTTAGCTGGGAGGGAGAACCATCCATTCTTTTAAGTCTCCACGGAGCTGGGGCTGTGTTCCAGGCTAGCATCAGCCTTGGTCTTTGTCCTAATGAAGTTATCTGACCCCACCCCAATCTTGGGACTTGTGCCTGGATTCCTGCAGGGATCCGAAACTCAGCAGACAACTGTCCCAGGGTGCCCAACTCAGACCAGAAGGACAGTGACGGTGATGGTGTAGGGGACGCCTGTGATAACTGCCCTCAGAAGGACAACCCAGACCAGGTGAGAGCAGGCCAGATCCCAGCTGGGTCAGTGCACTGGGGGTGAGCCCAGCCTGGGTTACCAAGACCACAGCTTAGAGAATCCCCCCTGCCAGACAAGGGCCTCCCACAGTCCAAGTGGCCTGGCCTTGGGGGTTTCCTTGGGGTCGGGAGGAGCTTGGCTGCAGAGGGAGGCTTCTGAGATCCTCTCTCCTGATTGTGGACCCTGATCCTTACCTCCTCCCCAGAGGGATGTGGACCATGATTTTGTAGGAGATGCTTGTGACAGCGACCAAGACCAGTAAGGAGGCCACCTAGGGTGGGTGTGTGGGACACCCGACACATCCTCTGAGCTTCCCACTGTCTCTTTGTTGAACTTACCCTCTTTAGGGATGGGGATGGACACCAAGACTCCCGGGACAACTGCCCCACAGTGCCCAACAGTGCCCAGCAAGATTCAGACCACGACGGTCAGGGTGACGCCTGTGATGACGATGATGACAACGATGGAGTCCCTGATAGTAGGGACAACTGTCGCCTGGTACCCAACCCACGCCAGGAGGATGCAGACAGTATGACAGGGGTGACAGGGGCGGGCTGGTATTGGTGGGGGTGAGGTGGCCTGGAATGGGTGTGGCCCTCACCTGTGGCAGAGCCTGAAGCTGAACCCCCGTGGAGGGGTTGTCTCAGTTCCCATCTCCTCTCAGGGGACGGCGTGGGTGACGCGTGCCAGGGTGATTTCGACGCGGACAAGGTGGTAGACAAGATTGATGTGTGTCCGGAGAACGCCGAGGTCACCCTCACGGACTTCCGGGCCTTCCAGACTGTTGTGCTGGACCCCGAGGGCGATGCGCAAATTGACCCCAACTGGGTGGTGCTCAATCAGGTGAGGGCAAGGCCTGGTGGTGGTTTTGGGGAGACCAGGAACCCCTCAGCAGGGCCTAAGTGGGGGACGGGAAGCCTGGAGGCCCTGGTGGCCGACCTGAGGTCCTTCTTCCTTGAACCTAATCAGGGGATGGAGATCGTGCAGACGATGAACAGCGACCCAGGCCTGGCTGTGGGTAAGAGGCCGGGGTAGCTGGGCGGAGCCGGCTCGGAGGCGGGGCCGCAGAGGGCGGGGCCGTGGCCAAGTCAGGCCTGAAGCCGGGAAGGGCGGGGCCGTGAGCGTTCTGGGCCCCGGAGGGGCGTGGTCAGTGGTAGTTTAGGGCGTGGTCTGGGCTCCCGGGCTGGGTCTGGACTCCAGAAGGGGCAGATTCCAGGGGGCGGGCTGGGCTCTGGTGAGCACCCAAGACTGGGGCTATGAAAGCCCGAAACCCTCTTCCCTTTGTCAGGGTACACGGCCTTCAATGGCGTGGACTTCGAGGGCACCTTCCACGTGAACACAGCCACGGATGACGACTACGCCGGTTTCATCTTCGGTTACCAGGACAGCTCGAGTTTCTACGTGGTCATGTGGAAACAGATGGAACAAACTTACTGGCAGGCGAACCCCTTCCGCGCTGTGGCCGAGCCTGGCATCCAGCTCAAGGTCCTGCACACTCCCGCAGACCCCCCCCCCCGCAAAAGCCTTTACACACCCACAGCCCCCGAGCATCACTCTGCAGACTTCCAAGCTCTCACTCCACCTAGGTAGCCAAAGGCCCCAATCTTGCTTCCTCCCACAAGCCCTCAAACACTGCCCCAGGGTCCCCCCAACCTGCCTTTGCCCCCTAAAGCCTATCACAGGGCCCTGTTTTTCTGAGTCCCCCAAATTTTCTGCAGACTCCCTTAGACCCAAATATATTGCTGAAACCCTCTAGCAAATCCCCCCAATTCTGTAGATTTCGGTTTATCCTACAGGCACCCAAGTCCTACAGGTCATCTATCCTCCCCCAATCCTCCCAGACCACCAATCTGTTCAGAACTCCCAGATCCTCTCAGGAGACCCCATGACTGCCCCCCATGATCCACCCATGAGCCCTCATTTGGCTCCCAAGAAAGCTTCCTTGTGGGTCTGTCATCCCAACAAGGGCCTCCTACCATGACCCGCAGCTCCGTCCTTCCAGGCTAGAATCCAGGTTTCCCCAAACCCCTGAAGTCTCTGAACCCCTTTCTTTGGACAATGGCAGGCTGTGAAGTCCTCCACGGGCCCCGGGGAGCAGTTACGGAACGCGTTGTGGCACACAGGGGACACAGAGTCCCAGGTGCGGCTGCTGTGGAAGGACCCTCGAAACGTGGGCTGGAAGGACAAGACGTCCTACCGCTGGTTCCTGCAGCACCGGCCTCAAGTGGGCTACATCAGGTGGGGCCCCCACCTCCACCAGTGAGCTGGGCCAGGCAGGGACACTCAGGCCAAGCTGGGAGTTCCCCAGCTGCAGGGGGAAAGGGGCTCCTGGGGCCTTGACCCCTTGTATGTAAAATGGGAATGAGGCAAGCAGAAGCAGCGCAGTGGGTCTCCAGTTAGAACCCTTTGACCCTCATTCCACGATGCTAGGATGCCCAGGTGCGTCACTCAGCCCTGGCTGTGGGCAGGGCCCCTTCGTGTCCATTCCAACACAGGCAGAGGTGCTGGCTGGGGCCTGACTCACTCTCCCACCTGCAGGGTGAGGTTCTACGAGGGGCCCGAGCTGGTGGCTGACAGCAACGTGGTCTTGGATACAACCATGAGGGGCGGCCGCCTGGGGGTCTTCTGCTTCTCCCAGGAGAACATCATCTGGGCCAACCTGCGCTACCGCTGCAATGGTGAGCTGGGGCCCGGGAGGGAGGGCAGGGAATTTGCCCAAAGGCCTCGAAAGGCCTCTCACCCGCTGGCCCTCTCTTGCAGACACCATCCCTGAAGACTATGAGACCCAGCGGCTGCAGCGGGCCTAGGGAACCGGGAACCCACTGTTGGACATTGGCTGCCCTTACCAGGGGGGATGGGGGCCGAGGGAGGCCCCAGCCCAGAGGGGAAGGGAGAGGGTCAGAGAGGCGAATAAAGCTTGTGTGCGGAGGGAGTGCCAAGTGTGGTCTTTGCTGCAAGGGGACAGTGTAACTGGGCCTCTGAGGGGCCCACCTATCTGCTGACTATCCAGTCCTGATTTGGGGAGGTTCCTAGGTCTGCCACGTGTCCCAGTCACTCAGCCATGATGAAGCTGGGACCCCTCCACTGGAGTGTCTGCTGGAGGATTCTAGGGGGCTGGTCTGTCCCCTGCAAGTCTGAGGACCCCTCCTCAGGTGCCGACAGGGGTGTGTGGGGCACTCATGCCTGTGTGTCTGTGTATCTGTGGCCATCCATGGAGAGAGAGGGTCAGGGGCCTTTGCCACCCCCGAGGGAGGGAGACAGGGTAGGAAAACACGGGAAGAGACAGAGACGAAAACATTGGATTTTTATTCCATTTCATTACAAAGGATGCAAAGGTACAAAGACAAAAGCGTCCGCGCCGGAGGGCGGGCAGGGGCAGCCGAGAGTGCCCTGAGCGCCCGCCCCGCCTGCCTGCCACAGCGCCCGCGCAGGCCCACAGGACATCCGCAGTGGAGTGTACATGCTGGGGGACAGAGCCAGCCTGGGCACAGAGGGGCACGGGCAGGGCGGGGCTTGGACCAGCAGGTTTGCATATATCAATGGGACTGCCCAGCCCCTGGGGGGCAGTTCCTAGTGGGGGCAAGGCAGGGCCTGTGGACCTGGGCTGCCAAAGCCCAGTCTCCCGGGTGTGGTGCGAGGCCGTGGCTATGTCCCCATGTCCCCAGTGGGCAGGAGGTCAGAAGTGCTTGACCAGCTGGGCTGAGCAAGGCCGAACATGGATTGATCCCAGACCCTGTGAGACCACCCCCACCCCTAACACGAGCCACGTGGAGAAAGGTGGATGGAGCCATCTGGAACCAGCACCATCCCAAGGCCAGCCTCTGCCCCCGACCCCGGCCAGGGAGCTGGGGGCCCTGAGACCTTCGGGTTTAAAAAGTGACAGGAGGGAAACTGAGGCTCAGGTCCCATGGGGCTCACTCCTGACCCCATGCCCTTGGGAGTAGCCTCGCACCCAGGCCTGGGATGCAGGTCACCCACCTCCTGTCCCTGGGTGACAAAGGTAGAAGGGACACTCATACCACACGGAGGGCTCTGAGTGGTACCCGAGCCCTGGCTGGCCGGAACTCCTTAGAAAGAACCCAAGGACATGGTTGGCTCAGGCCAAGTTGACTGGGCACACCTGAGGGGGATGTCCCAGGGACACCAAGTCAAATGCCAGAAGACCCCTGTAGGAAATGGGGACTCGGGGGCCAAGGAGAATGCGGCTTAAAGGGACCCTGCTGCCTCCGCACCCCAAGCATCCTCGGGGGGTTGTAAAGGATTGAGTCTTCCCCAAGCTCTCCAGGCCATGTGGGGAGGGCTCCAGGAGTCATGGTCCCCTCACCTGGAGTGTCACCTGCAGGGTGACAATGCACCAGGATCAAGGGTACTTCCTATCATTGGCGTTGGGGCCCCTGGTGCTGAGGGCCCCTCACCCACCCCCACACTGAGGACCCTGTGACCTCTGGCCACCAGCTGCATCAGGAACCACTGGAGGGCGTGGAGGCCCAGTGCCACCTGGCCTCACCACGCCCAGCTCGCCAGGCGCTCGAGGCCTTCTTTGGAAATACAGAAAACCGGGAGCCAGATCAGGTGGGGATTTGGAAGAGTGTTTGGTTTGGACCAGCTGAGGACCCACCAAGACAGGAGGGCTGGGGGTCCCTGAGCCCCCTCTAGGGACAGGCACTGACACAGGGTGGCTGCCCAGCTGTCTGGCCCTGCCTATCCCTCCCTGGGCTGTGCCCCCGAGCGGCTATAGGCAGCTGCTGGCCAGCAGCCCTGGCTGTGATGTCCCACGTCCATCAAAAAGCCATGGCCACCATTCCATGCCCCACCATGAAACACGGGCCTCTGTAGGGGACCCTGCTGTGTCCTCCAGAGAGCTGGGCCACCTGGAGAAATCACACCATGTCAGAATCTTCCTCCATAGCACTGAAGAGCCACAAGAAGGTGGCACCAGAGAGGAGTGTCCCAGGTGGGGCCCTGTGGAGCAAAACGCCCGGAGCACAAAGGGGCTGACCCAGAGGCTCTGGCTCTGAGCCTTGTGGGGGAGCAAATGCACCCCCCTGGGACCCAGAGGGCGGGGGTAGAAGAGGCGGTGGGGACGTGGTGTTCTCAGAAGCCCCCTGTCTTGCTTCTGCCCTGGGGGAGGGTCTGCAAAGCGGAGGGGCCTGGCCAAAGCCGGGAGTACATGGGTAGGGCTGGGGGAACGGCTGGCCTGGCCCTGCCTCTGACCTGGCAAGGGCCGGGTATCCAAGCCTGTCCCAAACGAGGACACGAGCGGCGGGGCTATATACATGCTGCAGGGGCCCCTGGCCTGGCCCTCCTGGTGCAGCGCGTCTAAATCACAGTATTTTCACGTCACAAAGCACAGGGCTGGTTCCCTTAAACTGTCTTGTTTTAGAAAGTCTTGGCAATTCAGGAATATTTAGTAGAGAAGTGACATCTAAAAAAAGACCCCCACAAAATCCCGTTTCAGAGCCCAGGTGGCCTGCCCAGGTGCAGAGGGGGTGAGCGTTTCCAGAACACGGGGACGCCTGGCTGCTGGCTCCCAGTTGGCCCCGAGAACGAACAAGGCCCCGCACCTTCCCAGGAAGCCCTGACCTTGATCACCTCATTCCCACTGGAAAAAGAACTTGGCGATGAGCCAAGGCCACTGCATCTATACAATGTCACCTGTGGTCCTGGCTGTGGGACACTGGAGACGGGCCACAAACCTGGGATGCTCAGAGGGCACTGTCCCTCCTCTCTCGGCTGTCTGCACCAAGAGCCTGAAAGAGCATTGGCGGTGGCATTGGCCAGTGGCTCAATGGACAGTTAGTGGCGGCCCATGAGGCTCCTTTGTGAGGTCCCCAACGCCTTATTTGAAAACTGTGCCCAGGCAGGTTGTGTGGGATTTTATTAAGGCCATTTTTTAAAGTTCTACATACAAGTCTAATGTAACCAAAGCCTCCCGTGTACAGTTTTTCTTAAAAAAAAAAAAAAATGTCCCCACTTTTTGCTTCCGGCCTCCATCCCAGCAGCAGAATGGGCTGTGACCTGGGCACTGTCTCATGCTGTGCTCAAGCCCAGAGTGACGGACAGCAGCAGGTGCACAGTGACCCAGGAGGACAGTTGCCACCTGGCTGCTTGGCCATGTGCTAACAGTGTCACTGGGAAGGAGAGGGAGGAACGGTGCTAGTATCAAATGCAGCTCTGGAGGACAGAATGAGGGCTCCTGTGACCTGGCGGAGGTGGCAGCTGCGACACCACAAAGAAACGCACCCAGCAGAAGGTGCCAGCCTGGTGGGCAGAGGCGCAGGCGAGGGCGTCAAGGTGCAACCCAGAGGAAAAACCCAAGAGTGTCACATCCCAGAGCGGGAGACAGAAAACAGCTGTGCCACTGCCTGTCACAGGGCCTGTGGTGGCAGTGTCTGAGGCCACTCCGGGTGCCCCACTGCAACCTTGGCCTCCAGAGGCACTTCTCAAAGCACCTGCAAACCTGCCACTAAGACACACGCTGCCCTTTGCCTCCAAGTCCCCTCGGCCCTGGCTGAGGCACCAAAAACTGGTGGCTGGGACACAAGGCCCATCAGAGGCCTGGATCGGGAGCCAGAGAGGGCAGGGTGCAGGAGACGAAAGGCCAGCTCTGCCCTGGCTCTCAGGGGTCCACTCTTTCCCACTGGTCCTGATGCCCTTGGCGCAGAGGCCCCAGTCATGGGGTCTTCAAGGTGAGGCTTGGGGACACACTGGGGAGCAGCAGGCGGAGTCAGGTCTTGCAGAGACCCTCCCATAAAACGGGTGATGTCCCCAAAGTCTGCTTCATGCACCAACAGCGGCCTCTTTAGCCATCACGAGCTTCTGACAGGCGGGGCCTTAGGTGGCCTCTTGGTGGCCGCAAAACTAAGAAAGTCCGAGGCTCGGGTTTGGGCCTGCGGGTGGCCACCGCTCCTAGGTTTATCAGCCCACGTTTCCAGTTAGCTTAAAAATGGGGAACACAGGATTCTGGGATTATAAAATCATGCTCTCAGGCAAGTGTTGGCTGGAAAGATTCAGCTACTCATCTACAACCAAATGTAAATACAAACCAAAGAAGAAAAAAAAATCACGACAGAGATTCCCTGGCCACCTACCCGCCCGACCCCCCACGTCTTAGTAACAGTATGTACCTCTAACGTGACCACAGGACAGGGAAAGGGAGATAAAGACCCCAGGTCCTCCCTGCCCGGGGCAGCTGTGGTCTGCTTCAGTCTGTCTGGGCATCTCAGGACAGAAGGCCCTGGCTGGGCTGAAGGGGTGGGAGGGCGAGGGGCGCCGGCCGCTCCGCATGCTGGGTCACACCTAACGTTCGCCCGGGACAGCGCCTAGTGCTTTTGAGTGTGCTCAGAAAATAGAAGACGGCCATCAAAATAGTGTTTATTTCACTCTGCCTGTCCCTCCTCTGGCACCTTCTGCCTCGGCAGGTGGGGCCGCTGTCTACCTGATCGAGGGCTGGGGCTGGCGGTCGCAGGGACGGGATGAAGGAAGGCAGTGAGAGCTCATCAACAGTCGGAGAGTGCACCTCGGCCCAGACACCCACCCCAAGCCTCCTGACACCCCACTCTCAGCATCCTGTGGGGGGCTCGCGCCCGGCCCCGGGGTAGGAGAGGAGCGAGCGCAGGGAGGGTCTGCGGGAGTGAGGACTCACAGCCTCTGACCCCAGCCTGGCCCTAGGCGGACGGACGGACCGGAGGGCCCAGCTCGGGGCCTCGCCGGGCTTCAGCGGGAGGTGAACAACCGGGGGCGGGCTGGTGGGGGCGCCGGGCGGCATTGCAAGCTCAGAATCACAAGCTCGGCCGTTTGCGAGGGACGGAGTGTGGCCGCCCCCAGGCTTGGAGGGACGCCGTCGGAGACCATGGACCGGCGGCACTGTGCCAGGCATGGCCGCTCACAGACGGTCCATCCGGAAGGTGTCCTCAGTGGCCGGGTCAGCGAGGACCATGTCAGGGTCATTGAGCATGTGCAGTCCGTCGAGGGTCAGGGGGTCGATCTTGAGTTCATCCAGGGGGAACTGGTTGTCAGCGTCGAAGCTGACATCGCTGACCCCGGCCAGAGTGCTGGTTAGTTCTTTAGAGAGGCTAGGAGGGGACTCTCCTGTCACTAGGAGAGACAAATAGTACAGCTCAGCCTGGCCTCCCTGGCTCCCAGTCTCCAGCAATGTCAGACCTGCCCTCCAGGGAACACTGCCAAGGTCTGGAGACATTCTGGTTGTCACAACTGAGGGAAGTGACACTGCTGGCATCTGGTGGGTGGAGGCACAGGAAAGTACCCACCTTAGAGAATGACCTGACACTAGATGTCAGCAGTGCCCCAGGGCTGAAGCCCCAAGGGCCATGAGAGGCAGGCTGGGTGCAGGCACGAAGGGCACTTGTCCCCAACGGGGCCCAGCTGCTGCCCAGGAAGGAACCTGGCTCCTCCCTCTACCGCCCTGGGGGAGGCGCTGCGCCTGTTTGCAGAGCTGGGACGAACGTGGGCTTCAGAGTCCCCGTCTCCCTGGGCAGCTGTGCCATCAGAGAGCAGCCCTGTCTTGGGAGTCCCTGGTCTCTGTCCCTGGGCATCCACCTCTGCCCACTGCCTGACCCAGGGGTGGGAGGTCAGGATTCCCACAAAGGGCACCAGGGGCTCTGAATGTGACCTCCGTATCCTAGAGGTGCCAGTGGGGACTCCCCAGCAGCCCTGGTGAAGACGGGGGTGGGGGTGGCCACTGAATGCCTGGGTTTTGTGCTGGGTGATTTCATCCGTGCCATGCAGGATGGGGCTGCGTGTCCCCTAGGTACCTGGGCAGCGGGTTCCTGACTGGCTTTGCATTGAGTGCTGGATGCCTGTCCCAGGGCCTAGGTGTCTCCCTGGCCCGTCCTGCCCAGGAGTGGGTGGAGTTCAAGGTGTGGGAGGGATCTGGCCTCCTTGGGGCCCTGTCCCGCTGAACCCTTGGGCTGAGGGCAGGGAGGCAGCCCAGCTCAGTCTCCTGCTGGAGCTGAGCCCTCTCCCGGTGGCCATGCTGCCCCTGGGCACAGGGAAGCCTCCACCTAGGCTCCTGGGCACCGGGCCTGCCAGCCTCACCTGTGAGGATGATGTTGGGGATGCCGCTGTGGCTGGAGTAGCCCAGCTGCTGCGTGTCCTGCAGGCTCCCGTGGCTGCTCGTGAGGCCCATCATGGCCGCCTGCGAGTAGTTGAGTGTGGAGCCGGAGCCGTAGAGGCTGCTGGAGCTGATGGCGTTCTCCATCATGTTGAACTGCTCCAGCTGGCAAGGCAAGCGTGCCAGGCCGTGAGGACCACCCAGGGCTCCTGGCTGCCACCTGCAGCCCCAGGATGCCCCTGCAGGGGGCCTGGCATCCAAAGCGGCTGAGCGTGAGCCCCCAGGCCCCGGGGCCTCCCCGGCACTCAAGACTGGATGGATGGATGGATGGACGGATGGACGGATGGACGGATGAGCAAGTGAGTGCTCCAGGCCACGGCCACACCTCCTCTGCCCCGGCGTCCCTGCCCCGGCCTCCACGCAAAGCCAGCACAGCCTCCCGGCAACCCACGTGCACGGCCCACGCCAAGGCACTGCTCTGACAGTCGCTGGCCTGTCCCCGCCTGGTCGAGGCCTGCCCTTCCTCCCCCTCTACATTCGGACTCCATTCTGCCAGCCAGACAGAGGCCCGGGAGGCCAGGCCAAGCCACCTCTGTTGGGGCCTTGGCCTCCACAGCTCAAAGACAGGACAGGGACTGAGGAGCGAAGCCAAGGGGTGGGCAGGGTCCCCTGAGTGCGTGCGGCCCTGCCCCCAAGGTCTGGGTCCTGGCGAGCATGTGCTGTGGGCACCGGCCGGCGGCCTAGGCGCCCCCTCACCTGGCGGGACAGAGCATTGGCCTGCCTGGCTGCCATCTGCTGCTCATAGTATGAGTCCCCAAACACGCTGCCCAAGGCGGACGAGTGCTGCAGACAGAAGAGAGGCCTGCTGTGGTCATGGCCCCCAAGACTGGGCAGGGGTGGACCAGGGCCCATCAGGACTGGCGCTCCCAGGCCCTGGCTGGACAGGGAGAAAGGCCCCCGGAGCTCCCTGGGACGCAGAAGGCTGATGACTTTTATCTTGGGGTCCGTGGGTGCGCCCCAGTCCTGGATGACTGCTTCCTTCCACCTGGGGTGTCTGCACCCTGATACCCTCCAAGACACCACCCCCAACTCCCCTTGAGCTGGGTGTGGAGACCCCACTTCCGTCATGGAGAAGGTGGGGCTGCCAGACGAGGGGCCTGGAAACCTCAGAGGTGACCTGGGAGAGGGGCCAAGACAGAAGGTGCCTGGACGTTACATTCACGACAGAACGTGCACTGGGGAACCCGATGGGCCCCCGGGAAGACAGGAGACAGGGCACACATACTTGGACAGGACGATGCACAGAGCTGGCCACTGGCCAAGCGAGCACAGACAGGAGCAGAGAGAGGCCTGAGGCCAGCACGGGGAGGCCACCTGCTGCGTCCCGTCTCAGCCAGACGTGCTCAGAGGAAGGGGCATGGGCTGTCCCTGGGAGAGGAGGAGGGGACTAGGGGACTCATGGGTGGTGGGAATGCTGTAAAGGTGCGCTTGGAGCCCACAACTAAGAGACAGGGGACAGAGCCTAGCTGGGCTGTACAAGTGGCCAAGTCACATCCCAAGCCCCTGATGAATAAGGCCTAGAAAAGAGCTCTGGAGTGACCTTGCAGCCACCAGAGGCCCAGCAGCACCCCAAGGCTAGGAACTCCAGCCTGCTTCTACCCGTGCAGGACAGGGTGCCCAGCACACCGCGTCTCAGAGACCATCTCCACAGACCAAACGCCCTGGCCCCCTGGCCCTTGGGCTCCCCGTCGGAGTGGTCTTGGGAAGACCCCAGGTGCTAGGACAACTCAACGCTTCAATCTGGGTTGACAGCAAACCCTTAGCCCCCTGGGGTCAGTGGACCAAGAGCAGAAGGGGCAGATGCCCACTCTGACTAGAGTCACAGTGACGGATGAGCCATCGAAGGCCAGCGAGGAGTTAAAGAGGGGGACTGAGGAAGAGAACAAAGTGGCAAATCCCCGAAGCCCAGAGTCCACAGCTTCGAGCTGGGGTGAGCCCGAGGTAGAGGCCCCTGGCGCACCCACGGCTGGGCGCCTTCCCCAGCGTGGCCCAGACACAACCACCCGCTTCAGGCTTTGCCAAGGGGCTGCAGGGCCGTGGCTGGTGCCGCCCAGTGAGAAGGAAGCAGAGAGTGCAGGCTTCACCCAGCTGGCGAGGCTGGGGGCAGGTGCTGGGAGGGACTGGGCTTCTGAGATGATGCCCGATCCTGTCCCTGTGGCCCTGGCCCTGACACACAGGGGCACTGATGGCCAAGGTGTCTCTTGTGAGGCTGCCCTGAGGGTGGCCAGGACGTCAGCTTGGGAGAGGCCTCGGGCCGGGCCTGACTGGGACAGACGCAATGGCCAACTGAGGACAGAGGCGGCAGGTGTGGGCCGGGCAGGGTGGAGCAGGCTGGGGTGGCCCAGGCCCAGGGGTCTGATGAGCGCATCTGTGGAGACCCAGCTGCAGCCAGAAAACCAGGTGTGGTCTCTTCCCAGCACCTTCTGCTTCTGAGGGAGCCCCAGGCCACTTCGCCTCGAGCCCTCGCTGCCCACACCAGCAGACAGCAGACGGGCAGGCGGCCGAGCCAGCGGCACGCTCTCACCCAGCCGGACCACAGCGCTTTGGTTGGTGGCAAAGAATGAAGTGACCCTCAGCCGACTCCCTCCAGGGAGAAGCCCTCCTGCCCTGCCCAGCACATGGGGGCCCCACCTGAATGGCATCTCTAGGCCCTCCCCACAGCAGCGCCGCGTGACGAGACCAGATGTGTTACCAGAGTTCAGCGCAGCGTGGGTGGAACGGGCTGTGTGGTCACCAGGCTGACCAGGTGTCACTCGAGGTCACCACACCCCGCCACTGCTGTGCAGCCGGGGCTGTGGGCAGGAGTCCCAGCAGGGCCCTGGCTGAGGGGGAGGATGACCCACTCATGTGGTCCGAATGCTGGAGACAGCAGAGAGGCCACCTCTCGCACGTCCCCGGGGACAAGGGAGTCTGTCTTCATTCCTTCTGGGTCCCCCCAGAAGGAAGCCAGGGAGCGGAGCCTCTCATCCCTCTGCCAGGGTCAAGGGAACGTCTTCATGACCTTGGGCCCTGCAGTGGCTTCTAGGTCATTTTGGGGATGAGGTGGTCTCTGTCCAGGAAGTGGGGTCCCCTGATGGAAGTTCTGAACGAAACATGGGACCCGCTGAAGCCAAGACCACACCTCACACCAGAGCCACACGAACAGCCACCGGCGCAGGGAGCCTGGGCGGGCGGAGAGGCTGGGCAGGACCAAGGGGTCCTAAGACACCTAGACCTGCACCCACCGGCAGGAAAACCCGCGTCTGATGAAGTCACATCTTGCCCTGTCACCTGGAGCTTGGACTCGGCCTCAGTCTGTTCATCCACGGATGGGGCAAGAGGGGCTCAGTAGACTGACCTAGGCTTGGGGCCTAGCAGCCAAGGGACATGCCTTCCTGCAGGGTGGAGGGGAGAGACGAGCTGAGAAGTCGGGGCTGCCACCACCGAAGGTCAAGTGAACTGTGCCCTGAAAGGGAGTCCACCGCCCATTCAGGAGCCTTGAAGCTCGAGGCTGCAGGGTGGCCAAGCCTGGGCTCCTGCTCTCGGCCACACACTGCCACGAGTCCTGAGGGCCTAAGGACACTGAGAGAGTCGTCACCGAGTCCCTTGGTGGGGTGACCACCACAGCCACTGCTCATGTGACAGGCTTGGATGAGGAACCCCATTATCCCTAGCAGGCTTGGCAGAGACCATGAAGGCACCAAGTGGTGGCAGAGGCTGCATGTCCTCCTCCACCATGGCCCAGGAGGTGGTCTGTCCCCAGGGCCCGCCTGGTGCAGCCCGGTGCGTGCACAGCCCCGGTCCATGGAAGGGACAAGATGGGATGGGTGAGCAGTGAAGCAGACGATGGCACACAGGGACACGAAGCGGGCTGCAGTGCGGGGCCAGGCGAGGGGAGGCGGTGTCCCTTACTTGTGGGGAGCTCCCGGGGGAGAAGCCTTGATTGGAGACAGGCGAGGTGGGAGACTGGTTGGCCGGGGAGCCCGCGCTAGTGCGGTACTGCTGCAGAGCCGGCGCCTGCGACGACAGACAGGTCAGACCGCGGCCTAGCTCCCCGAGCACGGGGGCCCATCTTGGTTTCCTGGGAGAGGCTGGTCCCATGAGCTCCCAGCAGGCTCCCACCACGCATGCCTTGACGGTGGGTGCCAACACAGGTAGCCAGGGTACCCCGGGCACCCGGAGCTGCGTCTGAGCCTCAGGACTCCAGTGAAGAGCGGGTTGCGAGAGCCCAGCATGGTCTCCCTCCCCACCTTCCCAGGGCCACAGGAGGGGACTGGAGAGTCAACCTGGACTCGGGCACCTCAGAGCTGAGAGCGCCATGTGCACACACCCACACCCACATGCAACAGCCACGTGTGCACACCCACATGCACATCTACACAAATGTGTGTACATACGCATATCCAGGCGCGTGCACACACCCATTTGTGCACTCAGATACAAGTCTGCACTCACACAAGCCCCCACACACCTGCACCCATGTACTCGTAGCCAGACACACAAGTACACGCCTCTATATACACGCAGGACCACCAGTGCCCACACCCCATGGGCACACGCCCCTCTGAGCATGCGTCCCTCACACACAGGGCGGGAGAAGCCCAGCAGGGCAGGCAGAGCATGACCTCTGCTCCCAACTGTCTTCAGCAGGGGCAAGCCTGGCCCACCCTGTTCACTGGGGCTGACAGGAGGGCTGTCCCTGGACGTGCCACAGGCTCTCAGCACTGTGTGCTCACCATTGCAGGCCTCCCCAGGGACAAGCCTGCCTGGGTTATGCCATCTGAGAGACCTCTGAGGGATCTGACCACTTCCTTGAGCCAGACCCAGTAAAGGCAGCGCAGGCCAGGCTAGGACCTAGATTTAGACCCCACTCTGGTCCTGATCCAACCTGTCTATGCTGTGTGCCTCCACGCAAACTGCCAAACTTCTCTGAGCCTGTGATTCAATGAGGTCCAGTTCAATGGACCCAGGGCCCCAATACTGCTTCACCTCCATTTTCTCAGTGGCCCGTTTTAAGCAGCCTGGGGTAGGGGGTGGAGTCCAGGTGGGACAGGATATGGGTGACAGAGAAGCCAGCAAGGTGAAAACGACCACAAAGAAATGATCTCCACTGAGTCTGCACTAGAGACCCAGAGGTCACCCGGGTCTGTGCCCAGTGGAAACCAGCAGATCCTGGGGGTGCTGGGTGGTCCAAGTAAGTCCTGACCCAAGAGCCCTGGAGGGGCTATCTCTGCCCCTGATGGGGACGCAGCGCTTCCAGTGACGGCCCAGCTCCTGAGCAAGGGCACGGTGCCTGCTGTGATTTCACCAGAGGAAGAGCCTGGGCCATGGGGGTCCCCACACAGGGCCGCCCACTTCACGCAGGGCAGGTGTGCCTATTCTTTACAGAGCACGAGGTTCTAAGGCCTTCAGCCTGCAGCCGGAGCCAAGGCTTGAGGGGGAGAGTCAAATCTGTGCCAAACATGGTCCTCAGTGGAGCCGCAACCCCCATTATCAGGAAGGTGTGGGGGTCCAGGGGTTAACCCAGCCAGTCCCAGCACTCGTTAGCCTCCGTCCGGCCCGGGCAGGGCGTGCCTTGCTCTGGGCTGTGGCTCCCTGGCCCAGGGGCTGTGCTGCCTGAACCACCTCACGAAGCCCTGGCCTCAGCCTGAGCGGGCTTCCAGAATGCTGTTCCCCAGGCCACGGGAAGCGCCCTGGCACCTCCCAGGAGGCCGGCTTCCGGCAGGAGCGAGGGCAAGCAGGAGTGCTCAGCAGTCAAACCCGAGGGGGCCCCCTGGAGGAGTCTGGGGCCAATGACCCTGCTCAGGCCTCAGTTTCCCCACCAGTACTCGGGGTGACAACCTCGGCTTAAGGAGTCCCAGCAGTAGCCCTTGTGGAGGGCCTGGCTTGGCCTGGCCCAGGGCAGGGTCTGCTTCTATCCTGACCCTCACACACACTGTCGGGGACCCCGTCCTGCCAGGCCCAATGGGGTCCCTGCAGCCCCCAGACTCCTCCTCCACGAGCCCCCCGCCAGGCCCTGCAGGACCGTCCCGGGCTTACCGAGGCGATGTCAATCCCCATCGATGGCTGGCCCGGGTTCTCTGGGGGGGACTGGGGGAGAGAGGACGGTACCGTGACCGCGAGCGGGGGCAGCTGTGGCCCCCGCGTCAGGCTGGCGCTTGGCATCAGAGGGCCTCCCGGGGGTAGGCCAACGGGCACCTGAGGCGGCGGCGGGGGCGGCTGCTGTTGGGACGCCGGCGGTGGAGGTGGCGGGGGCTGGGGCTGCGGCGGGGGCGGCTGTTGGGAGCCAGCCTGGGTGAAGAAGGCGTAGGGCAGCTGCTGCTCCAGAGACAGGGCGTCCATGGCCACGGCCTGGGGAGGAGAGGTCATCAGGTGGAGCCACAGCAACCTGGTCCCCGAGGCCCCACAAACTTGTTAATGACGGATGGACAAACCCTGTGGGCTCCGCCCCTGGACTGGGTGCTCCCAACAATGAAAGAGTCAGAGCCTCGGGAGGGCAGAGCCCACCCAGGGCCCTTCCTGCAGTGAAGCCTTGTCCACGCTGGGGAGACAGGGAAGGTGGGGGTTATGGAGACACTGGTGCAGTCACGGGGCCAAGGCTGGCTCAGGTCCTTGTCAGAATGGGCAAGGGGCTGGATCTGTGGCTCAGTGGTAGAGCACTCGCCTAGCACGTGCGAGGCCCTGGGTTCGACCCTCAGCCCCACATAAAAATAAATAAATAAAATAAAGGCATTGTGTCAACTACAAGTGAAAAAAAGAATTGGCAAGAGGAAAAGAAGCAGAGGGTAGTGGTGGTATTTGGAAATTCTGTGTAGAAACTCACAGCCCTGGGGCCCCTGGGGGAAGGCCCAGGGTGAGGAGGGCCAGGTCCCCATCCCATCCCCGAGAGAGGATGGCTGCCCAAGAGCTATAGCACATGGGCACATGCCCCGCCCCCAATAAGCAGTGGGGTTCCAGAAAGGGGCTGGGGCTGGGGCTCAGTGGTAGAACGCTCAGTGGTAGAGGCACTGGGTTTGATCCTCAGCACCATGTAAAAATCAATCAATCAATCAATCTATCAATCAATACATACATACATACATACATACATAAAGGTACTTTAAAATTTAAAAATTAAAAAAGCAGCTGGCACACCTGTAACTCTAGCGGTTTGGAAGACTGAAGCAGGAGAATCACGAGTTGAAAGCCAGCCTCAGCAAAAGTGAGATACTAAGCAACTCAGTGAGACCCTGTCTCTAAATAAAATACAAAATACTCCTGGGGATGTGGCTCAGTGGTCAAGTGTCCCGAGTTCAATTCCTGGTACCCCCCCAAAAAAAGTTTTTTAAAGAGTTTCAAAAAGGAAAGGGGCAGGAGGCCCAGGATCCAGACAGTCCACAAAGACACACAGCTGCAGGAGCTGGCCAGGGCTGTGTGGATTCTGACCCAGAAAGACACACTGATAAGCAGACGGAGGCACGCGGTGGTCACCCGGCCCAGGCCTGGCAGCAGGAGGGGGGATTACTGTGCATTCTGTTGTAGGTGGATGGTGCCATTGTGGCCGTGTTAAAACCAAAAAATTTTTAAAAATAGGGACAGGTGGTAGCTCAGTGGAAGAGGGGTAGCCCAGAGTGCTCGGGGCCTGGGGTCCGTCCCTGGGACGAGCAAAACAGAAACAAAGCAAAGCAAAAGATGTTGAAACAAACTCCTAGGAATCCACAAACTACCAAAAACAAATCGACAGAAACAGGAGACATAAGGAGATTGAACCAGTCATTAAAAAACTCCCACTAAAGACAGACCAAGAGCCAAGTGGTTTCAGTGGCAAAATGCATTGAATTTTACCAAAGATTCTGAGCAGGAATTGAAATGCTTCTTAAACTCTTCCCCCTCGCCAAAAAAAAAAAAAAAAAAGGAAAAAAGGAGATAATTCCTCCCTCACTCTACAAGGCAGGATTTATCATGTCAAAGAAAAGTGACTAAAGATACTAAAATCAGAAATGAAAATGGAAAGTCCCTACTGACTTTACAGGAAGAAAAAGGACCATAAGAGTATCATGAAAATTTACAACAGTGAGTTGAAAACCCGATTTGGACAGAGGGACACCAACTATGAGAAGCAGAGGAGAGTAGATGGAGCCCTGTGGCAAACTGAAACAGTGAATCCAAGCTTGCTGACTATTCCATTACGGAAAAGTCAACTAGACCAGGAAGAAGGGAAGCAGCTTAGTGGAGGATGCTCATGGGACCCGCAGGACCCCTTCATGGCCTCTGCCCGGGTCAGGCACAGGGGACCGCTGACTCGTACATTTTCCCTGTGGTTGAAATCAACAGGGAATATTCTTGGATTCCATCGTCCCCTGAAGGGGCAGGGGCCTCTTGGAGGGGCAGAGTTGAGCCCTCACCTTCCCCACCCACCTCACCCTCGAACCTGAGTGATGGGTGACAGTGGGGACAAGGTGGGCGACACCTGCTGGGCCTGCTGCCTCCTTGCTTCTGTGCTCAGGGACAGCGGGCTGACACCAGCAGGTCGGTGCTGTGGAGAGGAGCCCGGCGTGCTCATCCCTGGAAAGGAAGAAGGGAGGCGGGGAGGACGGTGTGAGGGAGGCGAAAGCCACTCACACCCCCACGGTCACGCTGCATAGGGACAGCCCAGGTGCTCAGAAGAAGCCAGTGGGCACTTCCCAATGGCCAAAGCTGGGGAGTCCCTCCGCCCAGTGCGGCCGTCTTCCTCTTGCCTTCCTAGTTCACTCCACCACTCCTCCTGCAGGCCCAATCAGCACTTCCCCACTCCTGGAGCACGACTGGTCCCCAGACAGGCATGTGACCAGGTTGATCCAATGAGAGCCTGCCTTGGGATTTTGGATGGAAACTCCAGGAAGGGCTGTCCGTTGGGGGGGCACATTCCACACAAGGAAAAGATCCACCAGCTGGAGGGCTGAAGGGGACAGGCAAGGACTGAGCTCTCTCCAGCCAGAGTGGTATTTCCTGGCTTCAGACAATAAACCCCCTTTTTGTGCTGAAGTGGGCTCAGGTGGGAACTAGCTTTAGGCAAGTCTGTGCCGTGGTTTCCTCCACAGGCTCGGCGCTCCTCATGGCTCCACAGTGCCCCAATCCACGCCATCCTCCTGCACCAGAGTGCCCCCCACCAGGCTGCCCAACTCAGACCTGATTCCTTCACGTTCTCCCCGTCCCTGCAGGGGCTCCTGTCAGGAGCCCGCACCTTGCCCCGTCCTTCACCCCGGCCTCCAGGCCCTCACCCTGAGCAATGTGATCCCTGGATACCACTGTGGTGAAAGAGCAGGTAAGATCGAGGACAAGGTGGCAGCGGTTTGGGCTGCTGGGCTCTCCTGGGCACATGCCAAGCACACAGCAGGCCTCATGAGAGGAACCCTGGGGCCCAGCCTGACCCACACCCACCCTGACACTCAGTTTCCCTGTCAGTGAGATGAGGATGATAACAGCTGCACTCAGGTTCACCGTGAAGCCCCAGTGAGGTCACAAGCAGGCTTGGGAGAGTCTGGCCTGCAGCCAAGGCCGGCTGAAACTGCCTGACTCACCCAGGAAGATCCGGGACCCATCCGCCCAGGACACCAAGGCAACTGTGTTCTGGCAGATGGGGCGGCGGGTTTACGGGGCTGTGGGAACACACCCAGCACATGCCAGGAGACGACAGGCAGTCTTCCCCATGCCCGGGGCAGCTGCTCGCTGGGACAAGCTGGGTCATGCCTGGACTTCCCCTGGACGCCCTGCTGGCTCTGCTCAGCTCACATGGGAGGGGGCAGGGCTCGCGTCTGCACAGACCCTGGGCATCAGGACCAATGATGTCAAGGGGACATCAATGAAAGCCCAAGCAGGAGAAGTCTGGGCACCAATTATCTTGTATGTTTGGTGGGGCCAAGGAACATTTGGTGCTCAGGTCAGGAGCAGATGTCAGGGCTCAGTAAGGGGCGCAGCCTGTGCTAAGCGCTTGCAGGAGGTGGACGTGGGGCCTGTGGCTCATCATCAGCACAGAACACTGACCTGCTGTCACCTGCCTTCTCTCTCCAAGAGAAGCTGGAAACCAACGCTTCCACACCAACTGCCTGATTTTTAAATGTGGATTTGAAGTCACACACACGCACACACACACAATCATATACCACACAAAATACACCACCAGATGGTTTGCCCTTCGGCTGCCCACCTCCAACATCTGCCCTGAATACAAGAGTCTTTAACTCCCTGTGGGCTGCCAGGCGAGTGCCTAGCCTCACACAGGACGGCCACCACCCCAGAGGGGCCAGTCGGGCCAGCAGGGCAGACACAGCATCTTGCTATTGTATGCCTTTCAGCAACCTGGCTCACCTCTGGAGCAGGAACACAGCCAGCTGGAGGGGAACTCTGGGGCGGGCGGGCAGGGAGAGCTGCCAGGAGGGCGGGCCGGGTGGGCCAGGTGGCAGGAGCCCGTCCTGTGGCACGCAAGCCCTGCTGGCAGGCATGGCCGGCCTCGGAGCTGTGCCAGGAAGGGCCCCCAGGGCCTGCCCCCCTCCCAAGACCTGGCAAGGAGCCAGGACAAAGCTTTTACAAATGTGAGATGCCGGGGCTGCCCCCCGCGCCTCTTCTTCCCCGTGGGGCTGGCGGTGGGGCCGGGAGCGGGTAAACACGCATGTGCACTGGTGGCCAGCAGCTCAGCTTTATTTAAAAAGCACCCAGAAAGCAGAGTCCCTGCTCGGGAGCTGCTGGAGCGGCAGCTCCACAAACATCGGCACTGGTGTCGGGCGTTCCTGGGCCGGAGCTCGGGGCCCACACCCTGGCCGCCTCGCACCTCCACTTGGGCTCTTTCCTGTGCTTGTTTAGACTGGGCGCGGGATGGAGGTGCAGGCTCTGGGGGCCTGCCAAGGACCCACAGGCAGCGGGGGGGAGCTCTGGCGTGGGGAGAATGGGTGTGGAAGCTGGTGGCTTCTGCACTGGCGCGGGGGGCGGGGGGGTGGGCACTGGCAGCCCCAGAGCTGACCTTTGGATTTTACTTTGCACAGGCCATGTGCGGGCAGGCGCCACCCGTCTGGCCAGGTCTCTGGGGAATGGAGGGAGCTCAGTAGCAGGAAGCCTGCCTAGCACAGGAGAGACCTTGGTTTGATGCCCAGCAGCACGCGGGCGTGCGCGCACACACACACACACACATCCGGCATCATCTTGCCTGCCCCCTGCCCTGCTGGCACCTGCAACAGGAGCAAGCTGGGGCTTCCTGCTCGTTGCCCCATCTCGGGTGACCTGGCTCCCAGGCTGGTGTCACCCTGACATCTACCTGCAAAGCATCCAACGAGATTCCCTCTCTCTCCAGACCCTGAACACCCTCCTGAGAGCCCCTTCTCCCAGGGCAGCCAGGGGGACTCTGCCAAGTATGCATTTTAGCGTGTGATGCTCTCATGGAAAAGCCTGTGTGGAGCTGCCGCTGAACCTGTAGCGGAGGCAGGATGGGCTCACGGGTGGGGAGAGTGCTGGCTTGTTCTACGGCTCTGGGTTGGAACAGGGCCTGTGTCATCCACACCCGCTATGTGCCCCCCAGAAGCCCTTCTGCCTGTCCTACCACCTGGGGCATCTCTTCTCTGGAAATCAGATGCCTGCTCCAGATGCAAATGCACATCCCAAACAGCAAACAAAGGGTATAGGTGTCATGGCAGGGACCTGGGAGATTGAGGCCCAGCACAAGGGACCGCTGAAGAACATGTGGCAATGCTAAGAGCAAATACAGAAACATAGCACAGCATGAGAGGTCAGGGGACAGTCAGGGGACAGGTAGGACGAGGTAGGTAGGGCGGGAGCAGCACAGGATCAGGGCAGTATGTGCAAAGGCCCTGAGTGAGTTCATCCAGCTGTGGGGCAAGCAGGGAGACGAGAAGGAGGGGGCAGGGTGACCTGGGCTCCAGAGGTTGTATGGGGAGGGAGGTGAGGCCAACAGAGGCAGGTTATGGGCTGGTCATGTTCTAGGTCAGAGAAGAGGCTGGGCAGGGCCGAGGCAAGTGAGCAGGAGGAAGGGTGAAGCTGGGTCAGGTCCTGATGGGAGAGTTGCCGGGTCTAGATTAATAAAGGAAGGGTGTGCGTGTGTGTGCGTGTGTGTGTGTGTGTGTGTGTGTGTGAGAGAGAGAGAGAGAGAGAGAGAGAACACAGGAGTTAAAGGGGATAACTCCACAGTCCTCAGGGAGCCACCAGTGGACAATCCCCAGAAAGAACAGGGACAGAGCAAAGCTGGGAGCTCCTGGGACAGGCAAAGAGCCCGTGGGACGAGCCCTGACCAGGCCAGGGGAGGAACAGGTGTAAAGAACAGGGAGGGGCCAGAATAAAGTGTCACAAAGCAAGCCGTCCAACGTGATGAGAAGGAGCAGGTCAGGCCCATTTCTGTCCCCAGTGAGGGGATGGGGCAAGGAGGGTTGGGGGACAGCATGACCCACTGCCGGGGCTCTGCTCCTAGGCTCCCCAGCCTCTCTGAAGCCACTTGGTACCCTCAAAGCTGCAACTGGACCCCTGGAGGCAGCATGCACCCCTCACACCCCACCCTTCTCTGCCCAGGCTGGGCCTAGGCCGGGGGGAGGGCGGGGGGCCTTCCCTGTGGGTCAGCCTGGCAATGCTGAGCTCCTGCGGCAGGTCTGTCACCCCTCATCTCCACCCTCCAGGTGCCTGGCACTGTGGACACGACTGATAAGCCACCATCCGAATGGACATGCCACGTTCAGGAGACAGTCCTCTACCGAGGAGCAAAGCGCGGGCACCTGGAGTTTGGGGCCATGCTGCGGGCCCTTACCCTGGCCGGTGCCGCCGATGCCCAGGTGCGTCAGGTTGGTGGCGAGGTTGCCAGTGCTGCTGGAGCTGCTCAGCGCGGGGAAGGTGGGCTCCTCGGGGTCCAGAGGGGTCGGGAGGGGGGAGGGGAAGTGGATGTTGGTCAGGTCGGGTAGGGAGCCCCCCGTGTTGTGGGTGGCGGGGATCAGGGCTGTAGTGTTTTCCTGGTCGGCGGATGGGAAGATGCTGGGGGAAGGCCAGACAGGGGCAGAGGTGAGGTCTGGGGACAGCTGCCAGCCGACCGGCCGGGGCGCCCCCAGAAACTGCGGCAGGGGCAGGAGGGGGCCACCAGGAGAACACGAGCAGGTGTAAAATGACGCTCCTCAGTCAGGTGCTGCCATGCTCATAAGATGGCTGTCAGGGCATCACCAGCGACTTCAGGAAGCAGCCTGCCCCCAGGGAGGGGAAGGGGAGGGTGGGACAACACTCTGTTGCCCAGGGAGGGCTGTCCCCTCCAGGGACAGGGTATGTCTGAGGAGGCTCTGACTCGGGCAGCAAGGGGCTGGAACTGGCCCAAGACAGGACTTGCTGGGTGGCCACCATGGTGTCCCTCACCAGGACGTGCAGGCTCATGGTGGGTGGGAGCCTGGGGGAGCCCACGCAGCCCCCATGGCTGAGGGTGTGTGGGCAGGCCCTGCGGGGACTTACTTGATTCCGGGGACCTCACAGGACTTGGGCCTGGACCCCGTCTGAAAGAGAAGACAGCAGAGGCTGAGCCAGCACCCCGGGGGCCTCCTCAGGTACACTGTTCCACAAGCACCAAGCTTATCGGCTAGGGACACTTCCAGAATGCGCGGACCACGGCGGGGAGGAGAAATCCCACCTTGGCTCAGGCACTTCATATGGCACGGCCCATAGTGGCCTCTGAGTGTCCCACAGAGGACACAAGTGGCCCCAGCAGGTAGAGGGGCCGAGCCCAGAGTCAAGAGTCATGTGGGGAGGCTCTTCCCACAGGCCCCACCCCAGCTCCTGCCCTTGGCAGGGAGAGGGCACAGTTCCACTCTGCTGCTTGGTTGGTGGGGGCCACAAAGGGTGACGTGGTGCCTTGTCAGAGCAGGCATCTGGGCAGAACCTGTGTGCCAGCTCCTCATGTCCCCAGGGCTTTCCATGGCAGTGCGCTGACAGGTGTGCAGAGGGGCTGCTGGGGCCCGGGGGCCCGGGGCTGAGTGCTCTTGCTTGGTGGCCATGGGGCAACTCCATGAGAAGCCACCAAAGCAGTGGAGGGCACCAGGTCAGGAAGACTGAGGTGGGCTGGGCCAGACGCCTCAACTCGGTCCAGAGGCTCCCACGAGGGGGCCTCTCCTTCCATGAGGACCTGCCCTCCTGCGACACTCAGAGGTGTGGCCCCCATCTGGTCCCAAAGCACTTCCTTGCCCTGTGGGCATTCATGTGTCCATGGGCCAGGGCTGGGGAAGCCTCTGGGGCAGCGCCAGTTTCAGTGCTTGGCTATGGACACTTCCAGGACACGCGGACCACGGCGGGGAGGAGAAATCCCACCTCGGCTCGGGCACTTCATATGGCACGGCCCACAGTGGCCTCTGAATTCAGGGCCACAGCCCTGCTCTGCTGCCCGAGGCTCTGGACTTTCAGCAATGGAAAAGTAAACTGCGACCCCAGTGCCAGGCCTGCTGTGCTGCAGGGGCCTCCCTGGCTGGGCAGGACAGCCCCGGGCGCCCTCCCCGGCTCCCCTGGGGGCTGGCCCCAGGGAGGGGTGCCAGGGAAGCAGCAGGACAGTGTGTGGGCAGCAGGACTCGGTCTGCTCCTCTGTGAGTGGAGGACATGAAGGCCAGGGAGACGGGATCCTGCGGGGCCCGGGGACTGTGGCTATGCGCAGGGCCCCCAGGACTGTGCTTCTGACCTCACGGGCATGACAAGGACAGTCCCGTCTCCTGAGAGGAGCCTCCAAGCGAGTCACGTTTTCTAATTTCTAGTCTGCCACCAGGGCCTGGGACGACACTGCTGGCCGAGCTTTCAGGAACCACCAGGGGGGAAGGCGCACCCGCTGGTGGAGGGAGGCTCTGCCTGGCAGCCGCACCTCGGGTACAGTGGTGGCAGGGAGCCAGCAGGCGCCAGGCCTCCACAGCAAATGCCCAGGGATGGGTTTCTACAGGGCCAGGGGCTCTGCGTGCTGGAGTGGACAGTCCCTCCAGGACCTGCGTCTGCGCCAGCTTTCTGAGGGATACTTTGAAAAGCCTTCCACGAACTTTACGGGAGACATTACAGGTTTCTGAAGTACTGAAGAGCCACTCCTCATTCTCCGCCATCCCTAGGGTCCCTCCAAGGCACTAGCCTGTTTTGCTCTCTGTAATGGAAAGGTGACGTCCAGATGCATCAACGGACCAGGACCTACTTTTCGGCTTTACCAGACATTTAGTGGTTGTGCAATTTCACTTGGGTTAGATATTTTTTGCTTTTTCTCTTCCTGATTTGTGTGGTGCTGAGGGCGACTGCTGCACCCTAAGCCCGCCCCCCCCAAACACCCCTATCCTGACCTTGCGAGGCAACCGCATTACCACGAGTGTCTCCTACTTCCTCAGAATTCCTTTAAAAATCCCAACTCAGAGCGACTGAGGGTCATCTCATAACCAACCCCCGCTAACATTCGGGTGGTTTCTGCTTATTCCGAAAGCTCTGCGTAAGCACTTCTAAATGCACCCCCTCGCTGCAACAGCATTCCCAAGGCGGGGAGTTCTTATGTCAACACCCCTGAAAAGCCTCCTGGGACCGTTAACAGTAAGATTGGGACAAGGACAGGGGGCGGCTGCTCCATTTCTTTCTTGGAGGGGAGAAGCGGTTTTTCTCCTTTTGGAGACAGGGTCTCCCTTCAGTTGCCCAGGGGGGGTCTCATACTCACCGTCCTCCTGCCCCACGCCCAGGTGGCCGTGGCCGGGCTGGCATGGGCCGTCTGTGACGCTCTACTTTCTGCAGAAACCTGACCAGCCACGGGTTTTAACGGGAGGCTTCTGCCGTGTGACGGTCCTGCTGTTTGCTTTAAGCAGGCTTAAGGACCCCGGAACCCGGCACAGGCAAATCTGTGCAGGGGCAGGTCTGGGAGGGCGACCCACCTCCACACGTCACTCCGTTATCTCGTCCCGGCCTGGCCTGAAGGAGCAAGGAACAGGCCTCCGGAGCCCCGGGCTCTTACCTTCTTGGTGTCCCACGCTTGCTTGGGAAGGTTTTTATCTGCTTCGGTCGTGGCCTCCTCCATTCCTGGGACTGTTAACAGTAAGACTGGGACAGGGGAGGAGGACACTCAGAAAGAGGACAAGCTCCCCGAAGGCCAGGGCCAGGTGAAGCTGCAACTTTCCTCATGGTCATTTCTGGGGCTTCTACTAAAGTTACAAAAAAGGGTCTCATTTTTTGAAAGATCAGATAAGCCCAAAACTCTGTATCTTACAAAGAAATGAAAACCAAAGCCCTGGAGCCCGCGGCCGTGTCAAGTCCGCCTCCTGGCACTGACCCGGCCTCCGTGTCACCTCCGTGGGCAGCAGACAGCGTAGTCTGTGTGGGCGGCTCCCCCCGGCTGCCCCCCCCCACCCCCCCCCCCGCAGACATCTTCTCCCACCTGGGCTGGTCCCCCTCTCGGTGCTGGCTGGGCTCCTCTTGGGCCACCAGCACCGAGCACAGGGGGTCAGTCCCTAGGCCTGATGTCAGTGGGCACAGCGGCAGCAGCCTTGTGAGTCAGCTGTGACGACTGTTCTAAGAGGGTCCAGAAGGATGGAGGGACAGGATGGAGGGACAGGACGGAGGGACAGGATGGCGTCACTCAGATGAGCCACGGCTGAAGCCCGTTCATTAGACTTTCAGTCGAGGCAAGAGTGGCCGCTGGCCCGCCTCTGTACCTGCTAGAGGTGCTATTTTTTCATTCGCCTCTGAGCACGCCATGAGGAACCAGCCAGATCTGTCACACACTCTGTGACACGTGGGCTGGCAGGTGTGGCGAGGCAGCGGGGGAACTAAAACCCTGGCACTGCCTGGGCCCCTCTTGGGAGTGCAGGGATGAATGATGCCTCTGATTGTGACTCCAAGACCAGCTGGATTCTGAGCAGCAAGGGTCTCGGTCTTGCCTTCCTCCCATGGTCAGAGCGTCCTCAGGGACAGTGACATCCTTGTGCCTGCCTATCCCCTAAAGGCCCTGTGCTTGCGGGGACCCACCAGGACAGGCAGCAATCTGAGGACAGTCTCGCTGCTGGCCTCAGAAAGAAGGCCCCAGGTGGTGCCTGCAGGCCAGGGGGAGGTGACCCAGGCTGGCACCCCAGAACCTGCCCTTCTACCTCCTGCACCTGTTGCCCGCCTGTCGGGACTCCCAGGGCCCAGGTTCCAGTGACAATCCTAACGGCAGGGTCTCCTGGCACATTTATACACCCACCTGGTGAAACACTGTCACAAAACAAGTGGCACCTGGGCATTTCACTCCAGGTCACTCTGCGGCTTTGGGGTCTCAGGCCAGATGACACGCACGTGGGGCTTCCCGGGCCTGGCCTCACAGCGTCGACGACCCCTCTCTGGATGACACTACCCAGCTCTGTTCACTGTTTTGGTTCTGGGGTTGAGCCCAGGGTCACTTAGCTGCTGAGCCACATCCCCAGCCCTTTTTTATTTTTTATTTTGAGACAGGGCCTCGCTAAGTTGCTGAGGCTGGCTTTGAACTTGGATCTTCTTGTCTGAGCTTTCCAAATTAATGGATTACAGGCATGTGCCACTGCGCCTGGCAGCTCCCCAATCTGTAAACATTTACTCGCCTTGAAGGTTCCCAGGATGCTGCCTCCATGCCTGGCTCCAGGACAGAGCCGAGGACCTGGGCACAGCGGCCTGGAGAGGAGGCACCTAGCACGAGCTGGGGAGAGACGGGCCCTTTCTCACCCGCTATAGCCAGGATGAGCTCAGGAGCTGCGGGGGACAGTTCTTACCAGCACAGCTGGAAAGTAGTCCAGTGTGAAATCCTAGATCAAGCAGTGCCTGAAGCTAGAGGTCCAGCCCTAGACTACAGTCCTGAGCTGGTAAATGCCCCTTTTACAGGCTCACTGCCCCTGCATTTGAAAGAATTATTTGAACAGCACCCAGTCTTCCCGGCCCTACCCTGAATCCATGAATCCTGGACTCTTATGTATTTGCAGGGTTTTCTCTGCCTAGAAAAAGCCTTTAAAACCCAATCCAAGCAGCCCCACTCTGAGCCCCTCGCCTTGTCCTTGGCATAGCCTGGGTCCTTCTTTGAAAGGCTGTCCACCCATGGACTGCCAACCTCCAGAGCACAAGGGCCACCTGCTGGGCTTGCCTGACCCCAGCAAAGACGCCGAGTCCCCTCTCATACCTCTTTTCTGGTGTGCATCCTGAGATCCACCCGTAAAGGATTCTGACTGGGTGGGCGTCATTGTGCTCTGGTGAAGGGCGGAGTCTGAATTGGTCCTGGGGGAGAGGGGAGAGACAGTGAGACCCCCCCAGAATAAACAGGAGTCATGACCACAGCCATACTACAGCCCTGGCACTATGTGCCCTGCCCAGGACACACCCCATGGGACAGGGTGGCAGATGTAGTCATTTTTCAAACTGCTGCACCTGAGCAGAAGGACATCATTTTGAACAGGACCACTGGACTCAGGCAGTTTTTGTCCACAAAGCCCACTGAAATCCAGATCAACAGCAAAGCTGTCCCTCTGTTCCCAACTGCCCCTGCCTGCCCCTTCAGTAGGGAGTCCTGGCTTCAGGGACAGGATGGCCCTTCCTGTTGAAATTCCCCGAGGGAGCCTGAGGGTCCCACAGGGACCTGGCCTTAGGGGGTTTGAGTGTGCAGCCTGTCACTAGGTCCCCTCCTGGTGACAAACACAAGTGGGTGAATATGTCCTCTAGAGGCTCAGTCTCAAACATGCTGTGATGGATAGAAAGGGAGGTTCAGAGAGACCCCTGGGTGCCCCCTTGGTGGGAAACCGACTGGGGAGGGGCAGTCCTGCTCCAACCAGTCGGACCCTGGAAGGAACCTGGTGGAGACTCCGTCCTGGGAACTCCCGTGGGGAAACTGACAACAAAGGCCAGGGGAGCCAGGCATGATGGCCCATGCCTGTAACCCCAGCAGCTCAGGAGGCTGAGGCAGGAGGATTTCGAGTTCAAAGCCAGCCTCATGAGTATTAGCCAGTGAGTCCCTGTCTCTAAGTAAAAGAAAAAAAGGGCTGGGGATGTGGCTCTGCAGTTAAGCACCCCTGGGTTCAATCCCTGGTACCCAAAAAAAAAAAGACCAGGTCAGCCAATCTGCTCCCAGCTAGAAGTGCCTCGAGGGAGGGTCCCCAGAACAACTCCTAGACAGGAAAACGTGGGTCCAGCTGCAGAGCTGTCAAACCAAGGAGGAGACTAAGGGCCAATGTGCGCCCAGTGGAGATATCCCAGCCTCTAAGAGTGACTAGAGGAAACATGGTCCAAGGAGAAAAGGATATAATGGCGCAGGTTAAAGGAGTCTTGAACCCTGGATCCTAGCCCTGCCCCCAACCAGCTGGGTGTACCTGAGTCAGTGTTCTGGCTTCTCTGTGCTCAATGTCTATGTCTAAAATGGGAAAACAGAGCCTAAGCCACATAGTTGTCTGTTGTGTATCAGCTAATGTATGCTTGGTGGATACTTAACTACGTGACTGTATCATGTCATGAAATTATGTGTGCGCGTGTGCACATATGGTTGTGTGTGTGCTGTGCGTGTGTATCCAGTTGTCTTTCCATATCTGTTCCTTGGAAGGTTGGTCCCAGGATCCTCCTTAGACACCAATATCCATGAATGCTCAAGTCCCTTCTATGAAATGGCATCTGTGTAGACTCTAAGCACATCTGTAGATGACTTATAGCACCTAATGCACCATGAATGCTATGCAGAGTTCTAAAGATGTGACTTTTTCTCTTCTATACACCTTTATGCATTTTCCTAGTCTTCTAGCACAAGCCTAGAAAACTTTTTTAAGGGGGCAGGGTAGCGGGGATCGAACTCAGGGGCACTGGACCACACATCCCAGCCCTATTTTGTATTTTATTTAGAGACAGGGTCCCTCTGAGTTGCTTAGTGCCTCGCTTTTGCTGAGGCTGGTTTTGAACTTCGATCCTCCTGCCTCAGCCTCCAGAGCCGCTGGGATGACACGTAAGCGCCGCTTCACTCAGCCTGTAACAAGTGCATCTTCAATAATTTGTTCGGTAACATGAAAAACTGCTCATCAAGCATCAAATGAAACAGCAAGTGGCAATTTGGGGTAAAGAAAATAAAGAAACAGACAAAAGTGAGGATGGGTTGAAGATCCCCTAGGCAGAGCGCTGGCATTATAGAGTGACAGTGATTTCTAGAAACTTGGGGACGTGTCTTCGTTTCCTCATTTTGAGTAACTCCGCCCTCACGGCTTTTCTATGCACTACTATGGTGAAAGTTTAGTTTTGTTCCCACCGAGTGGGTGGGGGCTAGGAACCAGCTCTGCCCACTGACCTCCTCCAGCTGGTGTCCGCGGGTGGTGACAGATACACGGAGCCGTATGGACAGCTGTCGGCGTGAGTGTGAGTTAAGGGGACGCACTGTGGGCTTGGGCCTGCCTGCACCGAAGTGCTTGTGGCCACTGAGCAGGAAGACCCCTGCAGCCCAGCGGCCCTGCTGCTGGAGCTGCGGGAGTGGCGGCCAGGCCTGCACACAGCTGGGGCCGGCGGGGCGGGGTGTCCGCTGCTGCCTCACAGGCGCTTCCTGCCGGCCTTTCCTGCCTGGCTGTGAGCAGCCCAGGCCATAGGGGCTCCCCGGGGATGCGGCCCCACTCCACCTACCACTCAACGCTGTCCTCTTGCAAGTGCACGTGCGGCCTGCACCCCGTCCAAGCGGGGCCTGCACCGTGAAACCAGCGGCAGGCACAGTGGGGAGTCTGGTTCAGCTGACCCTGGTCTCGCCTCTTAATTCTGGGCTGATGGGGCCGCTCCTGGGGCCTGAGGGTCCGGTCTGGGACTCAGCTGGTTGCGCTTCCCCAGCCCGCGGAAATGAGCAGCAGAGAACAGGCGTCTGCTCTGCAGAGCTGGGGATCCCAGGAACCACATGAGGCCGCTCGGATTCTGGTGCTGGGGGCCCAGCTGGCGGAGCACCAAGGGGTGGCCAAGCTGGGGCGGGGGGGAATCTGGCAGATCTCTGCTTGGGCGAGGAACAGATGCAAATTTTACATAGAAATGGAGCCACCCTCAGACCCTTCCCTCAGCTGCCTGGGCTGGGCACCCCATGCACTGCCCACGAGGGCCCCATCAGCCTACAGTCCTGAGACACGGGCTCCCACTCATGGCCCTCCGGGCCCCACTGCCTTGCTAGGACCCTCTGTGGGCCAGTGTCTCCTGCCTCAACTCCTGCCTTGGGAGGCGCTCCCTGGGCCACCCTAGCTCCAAGGGGTCAGAACAAAGGCTCCTTGGCTTGTGGCACTGCCTGCTCTAGGAAGCGCCCTGGGTGGCTGAGTCCATCTCCAGAGCCAGCAGCAGGCCCCCCTTCAGCAACTGCAGGCCAACTCAGGGTCGTGTAGCTGCTGACCGGAGGACCCTATCCCTGCCTACATGTTCTCTGGGAAAAAGGATATCTGCCGTCCATGTTTGTCCACTGACAGGGGCCGGCGGTGCGGGGAGCCAAGCCGGCCACGTTCCCGATACACTCGGTCCACTAGCCCATGATGTCGGGTGGTCCGGCTGGTGTCCAGGCCTGAGGACTGGAAGGGTGTCTGGGAACAAGGAGGGGGTGGGGGGAATTGAAACAGAGAAACCCAAACAGTGGTTATCAACTGTGACCTGGTATCTCCCCGGCTCTGCCCCAGGATCTAATCTTGGGGACACCCACTCCAGAGACACCCTTGGGTACCATTCTGAAGGCTGAGACGGGGGTCTCTGGGGCCCCAGCTCCCCAGCCCTCCGAGCACTGGGGATGGGGGTGCGAGAGCTGGCAGGGTGTCTGGCGCCGGGGACAGGCGTGCAGTGCAGCTGGCATGCACGGGCCAGGCAGAGCGGCACAAGCTCGGGGCCCAGTGCTGGCCAGGGTGCCAGGGTGCAGCGGCCTGAGCAACCTCCTCCCGGCCTTTCCAGGTGCACACAGGCTCCGCCCCTCCCTCAGGGCCGACGGCCTTCTAGCCCCTGCTGCGTCATCCCTGGAGGGGCTGCCAAGGGAGGGCCGGGGGCTTCTGCAGAGAACTGCTGCTGGCCCACCCGGCCAAGCGCTGGCTCCCAGGCGGCTTCCTAGTGAAGCCCAAGGCTGCTTCTCACGGAAACTGGGCCTTACACACCCTCCTCACCGCCTTAGCTGGGAGCCACCCAGAGCCCTGGCCCACAACTTCACCGGATGGGGCTTCCTTCCAGCACCTGGGGTTTGCACGAGGTCCCCAGCCAGGCCTTGCCCCTGCCAGGCTCTGTGCGCCAGGGACCGCTGGGAGCCTGCACTCTGCCTACCCTGGCCCTGCGCTGCCCTCTTACCATCTGACCAGAGCTAGGTCAGCTGCCTCTGCCAGTTCTGGACACGGTGGGTCCCCCTACCTAGCCATCTGGCCCCTGGCCCTGCTGTCTTCTCTGGGCAGTTGAGCAAAAGGCAACCCCGGGGTTCAACGAACCGCCCCTTCCAGGACAAAGTCAGTGTCCGGAACTGCTGTCCTTTCCCACCTACCAGGACTCAGGGTTGCCTGTCCAGGGGACTCAATGGGGACTCCCAAATCTGCCTTTCACCCAGTGGAGACCCTGCTGGCTTGGGTATTGCTACACTTCTGTCCCCAAGAGGCTCACTGTGGGGCCTAGAGGGCAGGGCCACTTATCTTTCAGAAAGTCTGAAACCTAAAGGGGAAACCGAGGCGGCTGAAGCCGAGCCAGAGGGGAACGGAGCTGTGCCAGCCACGCCCCAGCTCACCAAGCCCTGCTTGCTGGCCCCACGAGACACGTGCACACGCGGACGTGCGTGTGTTTAGAGGGATGGACCATGCAGCGCTGGGGGCACATGCTCGGATTCTGCTCAGGGGGACCCCAGACTGGGATATGCAGATGTGGCATCTGCCCCAGGCAGACACCAAGAGTGGGGGGGGCTCTTGATGCAACCATACATATTTCCCGAGACAGGAGTGGGGAGCAGATCCATTTCCATTTGGTGGACAGGATGTCTCCCTGGGAGCCACAGGGGCAGCCACATGGGGGACTGGGGGACACCAGCAACCTCACACATGTCAGGGTCTTGCAGGCTGGCGCTGGGGATGCCACGGCCTCAGCCTGGGGGCTCAATTACCAGAGAGACAGGAGCCGCTGCCAGGGCCTCCCCCAGAAATCCGCTGGGCTGAAAATGCAAAGAACCGAGACTCTGAGATGCCCAGCAGGCAGGACGCGTGGGCCCCAGGCCATGAGCCTCCCGCGACAGATGCTCAGGAGGACCCCACACCCCATGCCTGAGAGGGCTTGGTCTGGGCCCCATGTGGGGATGAGCAGAGGAGATGCCCAGAGAGATGTCCTTCTGGAAGGAAGAAGAGACGCAGAAACAGAGGAAGGGAGAGCTGGGCGGGTGGGTGGGGAGACCCGACTCAGCAAGGGCCTCTACAGGGAAGACGCAGGGAACCAGAGAAGAGACCCTGAGCGACTTCTAGATGAGGCGCCCTGAGGAACCGATCCCGGCAGACCCCAAGCCAGCCTGCGGTGGCACCCATCCCTGCCACGGTGCAAGGAACACTGAGCTCCTGGGGGACGGCCCTCAGTTCCACCAGGCCTGCCAGCACTTAGGGACAGGGCTATTTCCACAACTCTCCCCAGCACTGGACGGGGGTGTGATCACTGGGGGGACCTGTCCATGCAGAGCCCAGACACTGCCCTGAAGGTGGCCCTGAATCACAGCTTGACCCCACCACCAGCTCCTGCTTCCACCTGCAGACCAGAGGCCAGGCAGAGGATCCTGGGACCTTATCTCCCGTTGTGTTCGATAAGGCCGTGTGCAGCGGCCTGCAGCCTGCGGGAGCCGCTGTGTGGGTCTCTGCCAAGAAACGTTTGTAGACAAGTGGGGTCAGGCGGCCGGGCCTCCTTCTGAGAAATGCTGGGCTTGTGGATTAGTGAGGCGGGACCGAGCCAAGCCCCAGAGGCCCTGAGCACTTCCCGCTGCCGTACAGCCGGCGGACAGGTGTAGGGGCTGCTGGAATGCTCACGGGCGGCCAGACGGGGGCTCGCTTTGGGGTCTGCTCACAGGGGACAGGCTGGCAGACAGGCAAGTGAACCAGGGCTGAAGCGCTGCTTCCTAATGTCCCCAGTACAGAAAGAGAGTAGGCAGGGGAAGGGAGGGCTCAGGCGATTGTCGGGTGACCTCAGCTGCCCTCAGAGTCCACAGCACATGCTCTGTGGTGAGGGAAGGGTCAGAGCTGGACCAACTTCAGGTGGGAGGCTATAGGGGCTCCCCCAGGGGAGGCAGTGCTGCAGGGGGCTCACCTGGAAGGACAGGTCCATGGTGCCACTCCCGATCTGGTTCACGTTGGGCAGGGAGCCTCCGTAGTACTGGCCACGGCTCGGGCCCAGTTGCAGGAACTGGGACTTCTGAAGCTGAAGCTGCAAAAGATGAGTGGCCCGCTGTCGTAAGGGAGGGGGTACCTCCGGGTGCACTTCACAGAGCCCCAGCCCCCAGGGTGCCCACAGGACCTAGGTGATGAGGTGCACATCCACCAGGGAGACTGCAGGATCCTCAACGAGGTCAGCTGTCTCATGACCAAAAATGACAGAAGAATCTGGAGCCCTGGAATGGTCCTCCCAAGGCAGGAAGCACCCCCAAGGAAGCCCACGATCGTGAACGTGGGGAGCAGCTCCCTCTCTGGCTGCCTCAGCCGGCAATCAAAGGAGCGAGAAGACCACAGACACCAGCCCAAGAGGAGCCCTGCACTCAGGGGAGCCACTTCTTGTCCTGCTGCGGATGGAACCCTGGACCTGGGAAACCATTTTTCCAACGGCCTGAACCAGAGAGCGCTGTCTCCAAAGGACAATGACGCCTTTCAAGGAGTAGCCCTTCGGATCCCTGTGGCAGCCTACTCAAGACCAGGGTGGCTGAGCGAGTCCCTTAGACCCAGCCCGAGTTCTTGGGGGTCTTGCCCATGTCCCCAGGCTCCTTCTGGGTATCCCCAGGGCCTCACTGATGCTGGCCCAGCCAGGCACCTTCAAGGGGCGGTGTCCCTGCTGCTCACTCCACAGCGACCAGCACTCGGCACAAGGCCTGCAGCTGCCTGACTGACCCTGCTGCCCCAGAACGGGGCAGAGAGGTGGTCCCGCCTCCCCACCAGGCTGATTCTAATCTGCAGAGAGCAAAGGCAGAGGTCCCTGGCCCGGGTGGCGAGATGACCTTCAGGGATGATGGCCCACTATCCCTACCCGGCCACCAGGAAGGCGGCTGCCATGATGCAAGGTGGGAGCAGCGTCGGCTGCGGCCCGGCAGGGGCGGTTGCTAGGTCCACTCTGTGTACACAACAAGGCCGGCTCGCGTTCCCTCACAAACAGCTCCTGGCAGGCTTGGGAGCTGGCCGCCTGGCTGCTTGCTCTCCCACGCCAGCCCCAGCTTCCTGGGGGGCCTCGGACACCGGAGGGGGAAGCGAAGCTCGGGAACTGGCTGAGCGCCCAGCAGAGCACCTCGCCCAGGTAAACAGCTGCTTCCTGTGAGCTGCAGCGGGGCCGAGCGCGAGATTAACCTCGTGTGCTCCTGGGTGGCTCCCCGCACCTGCGCAGCCTGGCCCGGGGTCAGGCTGGGAGGCCCCGGCCCACAGTGGCTGCCCGTCAGCCACGCCCACCAAGAACACCCCACTGCGTCCTTTCTGGCAGACATGCGAGACAAACAGGCCAGCTGCAGGCCAGAGGGGGAGGCCAGGCAGGGTGGGTGGGGCCCCTGCAGCTCCTGTCCCCAGGCCCTGCCTGGGCACAGGTCCCTTCCGACCTCCCACGACCTCATCCACGTCCTCCTGTGTCAGAGCTATAGGGCAGGAGCCCGTGCTCTGTCCACTTCTTGTGGACCTTGTGGCCTCTGAGGCCTAAGCCCTCCAGCCCTCCAGGTCTCGGCTTCCCCTTCCCTAGACTCAGTCACAGGGCGGGTCTGTGCGCAGAGGTCGGGCATGAATGGAGGCGCTCATCAGCACGTGCTGTTCACGCAGGAGACCTGGCGTCAGCAAGAGCCCGAGGCCAACCTGCTGATCCTCTCATGGGATCGGACACTGACAGGATGCTCCCAGCCCCCAGGTCCCACCTCTGTCCAAGCCTCTTTCCTGTGACGCCCCAACCCACCAGGTCTGGACTGAATGTCATGGAGGACGGTTGTCACTGAGTGCTACATGCCTACTCGAGAGGCTGAGCGGAGGATCCCAAGTCCCAGGCAAGCGTGGGCAACGTAGCAAGACCCTGTCTCAAAATAAACAGAAAGGGCTGGGGGTGGAGCTCAGGGGCAAAGCGCCTGCCTAGCCTGTGAGCCGAGTTCCATGCCTAGTACCACGAAAAAAAGAGTTACTGTGTCCCCAGGGCCTCAGGCCACCCTAGATGTCCAGTCCACACTGTGGTTTAGGGCGGAGCCCCTGGGCCACCCAGTATCAGCTCAGCTTCTGGAGGAGTAGACACTGATGTCAGCCACCCTGGTCATTATCCACATGGACAGGACAAACCCCCAATAAAATCCTCAGCCCCCAAGGCCAGGGAACATCCCCGGTTGGCAATACACCATGCCTGTTGTCACACACAGCTGGGAGGATCCAACACTGTCCACATGACTCCTCTGGAGGGGAAACTGGAAGTCACTGCTTAGTCTCCGATTCCCTTTCTGACCTGAACCCACGTCCCTCTGCTGTGATAATCCACCCTGTGACAGTTCCGGATGAGCACGGTCCTCCTGGAGCTGCCCAACTTGAGAGCAGACGTGGGGACCCTGAATCTGTAGGAACTGACAGGCCCCCAGGCCTGGCTGGAAACCCCTGGGAGCAGGACCCTTCTCTAGGACACACGCACACGGGGCACACGGGTGAATGGATAGACACATGCAGGGATGGACAGACACCACTGCTCTTACCCTCTGAGCTCATGGTCACCGGCTGGGGACAGGCCCACCTGCAATCCATACAAGACCAAGGTAGGAAGCTGGAAGGCTCCATCAGTGGCTCGGCCACTCCCTCCTACCCAACTCCAGTGACAGTCAGTCTTGACTTTGATGTAACCCAAGGTCAGAGCAGACGCCTGGCCCTGGAGGGACCTCCCAGGAGGGCACAGAAGATCCCAGACAACGTCCCTCTACCCTAGACTCATGAGAGCCGACAAAGGGCCATAGATGAGGAGCTGAGGCCTGGGAAGGACGTCAAGCCCAGGCCACAGCTCCCAGGGTGCCCCTCACTGTGGCCTAAGGGTCAGACAGACCAGGGTCAGAGTCCAGACTCCCCCGTCATGGGAATGGGCCCCTGTTGCCCTGGCCCCCCACCTTGTCCTCTGCCCAGCCCGGCTCCCGCCAGCCCACCTCCACCCGCATCCTGGTGGGGCCTCCCTGCCCACCCAAGGAGCAGCCCCCGTCGCCGCCACAGCAGGCCCTGGCTCTGTGACTGTCCTGACACTGTTTTTATCGGGAAAGTTGTAGATTTACAGAAAATGGCAGAGATGCTCTTGAGAGCTGCAAGCACCCCTCGCCCAGCGTCCCCCAGAGCTCGCCTCTCACTCCTGAAGCGTGGGAGTCAAATGATAGCCACGACCTCGGTACAGCACCGCCGGCTGGGCTACCTGTGCTCTCGTCACGGCTCCACAATCTCCTGGCTTGTGTCACCTCAATGACCACGTCTGAACTGCCCCGCCTCATGAATGTCGGTCCTTTAACCTCCCGAGCCCACCAGATGGCCAGCACTTGGGACTTGCTTGGCTGGCACCAGAGCTGCGCGGCTGCGGCAGACCCACGGGAAGTGCTGCAGGTCCCTCGCTTGCTGCCTGCTAGCAGCAGCCCTGGACTTTTCCAGAACACCATCCCCAGGCCATGAACCTCAAACCCTTGATTGTGACCACCACTCAGCAGCACCTGGCCTTTGGGGTCAGAGGGGATGACGGTTGAGGACAGATGTCCCCGCCACTGACCTGGCTCTGAAGGGACCTCCCAGGCCCCAGAGGTGACTCAGGTTGGCCCCAGCGTCAGTGGGGCTGTGAGGGACTGGAAGGAGCACACACTCTGGTCATCTCGCGCCACCCCATCCCTGGGCCTCTGGGGTGGGTCCACTGGGTGTTCCTCAGGCTCTCCCCCGGGATGCAGAGCCCTGCCCAGGTCTCCATGCAGCTAAGCATCGTGACAGCCAAGTTAGTATCCTGGGGCTGCCAAAGGACCACAGGTTGGGTGGCCCAAACCTCAGGGGTGTGTTCTCTCCCGGTCCAGGAGGCTGCAGGCCCAGTCACGGCATCCGCAGGGCTGCTTCCACCTGAGGGGGAGGTCCTCCCTGGCTTGTGGCCGCGACCCTCCAATCCTCCATGACACGGCTTCTCTGGACCTGCCCTCCGCTACCTTCTGTCATAGTCATGGCGTCGGCCCTCCATATCCGCAGGTCCCACATGCGTGAACCCAACCAACTGCAGATCAGAATTACTTGGGGGAAAAATTCACTAACACTGAACACACACAGATCCAGCACGGCCAAGCAGCTGCTGAGCACCAATCACGGTGAAGGAGACGGTCCACAACGGCGGGTGGCGGGGGGTAAGTCCACGGGAGGACATGCGCGAGATCTACACATACTAGATACTACAGAACGTCCTTGAGATGGATTTCCATCCATTTCCTAGTACTGAGCCAATTCCCCTTGGACACTGAGGGAGGATGGTTCCTGTCACTGGATTTAGGGGCCACCCCAATCTAGAAGGAGCTTATCTGGAGACCTTTAGTTACATCTGCAGAGACCATATTTCCAACTGAGGTCACAGCCCCAGGTTCTAGGAGCGAGGATGCTGGCATATCTTTTGGGGTGACACCATCAAACCCACAGGCCCTCTGAGGATGGCAAGCTTCAGGGCTGCCCAGCTAGGAAGTGGCCAAGACGACATGGACTCCACACCTGAGGGGAACCCTGCATGGCCTGCACGGCTGGGGCCAGAGCCTTCCTGGGACCAGGGATCAGTGGGAGACAACAGAGGACCGCGCCCAGAGGTGGACCCGGTGCTTCTGGTCAGAGCAGCGGTTCAGTTCTCAAGGACACCAGCTCCCTCGAGGTCAAGAGCAGCCTCCGGCCCTGCCCTCAGCCCCAGCCCCAGCCCCTCATTTCTAGGCAGGGACCCCCCACACCTCCTGTGTAGCCTCTGCTTATGTCCCACGACCTTCTGCACAAAATTCTCAATCCCCATCCCACGAAGCCTGAGGAGGCCCCTTGTGCTGCGGGCCCTGCTGCACCCAGCATCCACGCTCCTGCAGACCCATCCCCAGCACCCACAGGTTGGGAGAAGCAGGGTCCCAAGGCTGGAGAGCAGTGGCCAGATGGCCCTGGTCAGAAGGCCTGTAGTGATTCGGCTATGGCGACTTCTCCAGAGGGGACAAGATCCTGGGGCAGCCCCCAGTCTCCTGAGGAGTCCTG